CCTTGCTCCTAGTAGTAAGGCCGGGAGCCCCTAGTAGCTTCTTGTTAGTAGTAGTCAGAATGCTCCTCGTAGCGATGCCAGGAGCCCCTAGTGGCGTCATTGGTCCTAGTAGTAAGGCCAGGAGCCCCTAGAAGCTTCTTGTTACTAGTAGTATTGGCCTCCAACCTAATAGGGACTGCCTCCACCCTAGTAGCGATGGCCTCCACCTAGTAGCTTCTAGTTGCTAGAGTTGTGACATGATACATGAAGGATAACATGTTCTACACCAATGGAAAACAGCAGTCAAAGCCATGACCTGAGCTACTACGGCTGGATACCTCGAAGCAGCATTTAAGGCCAAAGCCACTCCTGGCCTGGCAAATTCAAGAGGTCTCAAACCATCTGACTTATGCAAGGCCCAGTGATACAGAGTCTCTTTGAAAGGTGTTGTTCTTACCGGTGTAAAAAGTGTCGGATTCGTTTTTGGCGGTGACTGTCCCGTAAGCCTCTCAAATGTCAGAAGAGTTGGCTGAGATGTTGGTTATGACTGCTGCAAGACCAGTAATTTGGAAATGCTTGCTTTTGTAGGATACCGTCACATACCAAGCCATCATGCGGACGATGACGCCTGAAGAGGTGGGGGGGGAATACTGGGAATACCATGCGTACCGCTGAAGAGCTTGTGAACTTGTCACACGCATGGCGACATGTTTTGCCCAGGTAAATCCGCGACTCTTTACACGAGGCGATGCCAAAGTGCCGTGATTGGCTTTGATGTGAGCGTCTCGCCATGAGGCGTGCATGGTCAGCAAATCTTCACGGAGAATACGGGAGTTGACGATGAGGCATTGGGCAGGATGCACCAAGCACCTAGTAGCGTCCCTGCTCCTAGTAGTACGGCCAGGAGCCCCTAGTAGCGTCCTTTGCTCCTAGTAGCGATGCCAGGAGTCCCTAGTGGCATCGCTACTAGATGTACTTGGTGGTTGAAGTATATTTTATGAATCTTGATCTCACTATGCAGGAGGGTGCCGAGGAAGGCTTTGACGACCTTGTTCAAAACTCAGAATGATATCAACTTGCAAGCATCCTGTGTGCAGATGGGTCCGAGGTTGGACTTCCCCAACAATGCGAGCCTGAGCTCTTCTTTGTTAATCCTAGGCAAGTGACAAATCCAAAGCTGAAGTAATGTGATTCTGCTGGTTTGAAGGCCGGTATTCGTCCATACCGCGTCACACCGGAAGGTCTGGACCACGGAGTGACAATGCACCTTCTTTTAATCATTGGCAAGCCTTGCTCCTAGTAGCGATGCCCTTTGTTACTAGTAGCTTCTTGTTACTAGTAGCGATGCCAGGAGCCCCTAGTAGCGTCCTTTGCTCCTAGTAGCGATGCC